CTTAGTTAGACATGTGGTTTCCTGTGGAAATGTGTTGACAAAATTGGGAAGGGGATGCTTTTTATTTTACATATGAATTGAGCTTGCACTGTGTACTGCCAGTTAACAAACAAAGAGAGAAAAAGGATGAAAAGATGTGGGATTCTAATTCGGTGTTATTTGAAATCACATGTGAACCCTCTGCTGTGCGCAGCTGGAAGACATCCCTATGAAGTTCAAAGAGCTGAGTCTTTTAGCACCTGTTTCTGAGCTGTAACCTGTTTACACTTTTCATAATAAGATGAAACTCAATGTTTTCAGAAAGCCAGTACATGAGAGTTCTAAACATATCCTGTTGAAATTAAATCTTCAGTCCTAAAAATACAGCTTGCAGTGTTCAAATGAAAGAAAATTAAAACATTTTATTTAAAAAAATGTGACACTGAAAATCATAATCCAAAGTAACTAGCCCTATGTGAATAGGAACATCTTTTCTATCTACAGGAGGCATATATTATATTAAGATCAGATTTAAATTTATAGACTACAGAGACTCTTTGGCTCAAAAAATTCTAGTAACAGATTTTTGCCATATATAAAAAGACTAGATTCCAGATAAAAACACTAATAATAAGCCATATGCTTATCATTTTATGACATGGGCATTGAAAAATCTCTCTTAAATGATACAGGCTACTCAGAGAAGTCCACCAGGTGATAACCCTCATGATGGCATGCCTAAAAGTTACTCTACATTCCTTACTCTAATTAAAACATGGAGAACAAGGAGCAAGTCTCACTGGTACTGACACTGCAACAAAAGCAATGGCTTCATGGCCAAGTTTTCCAGGTTACCATTTTTTTTTTCAATTATTATTCTGATTCCCTTCTAGGTTTAGTTTTTATCCTTAGGTGCAATTATCTAAAAGGTATGTAAACACTCAAGGTAAGATCCAGTTGAGGAAAATGTATTTTCTCCCACCAAGCAAAATAATTACATCTATTCAACACATACGTGGTGAGCGTTTGCTATCCACCATACTATGCTAGGGGCTGTGATGGTCTTGGTCCTCAAAGGAAATATATTTTGTCTTGGGAACTGGCCTATTCCCAAGACAAACCCCAACAGGAGTTCCATGAAAGGGGCAAAATATTTTMTAAAGCTATGCTGTATTGGATCATGTTTTAATATTAATGTTTTTCTTAAAAAGCAAAGGGGATTTGTTAAATACCCTATTCATAGATTAAATTTGTTTATCATCTGGAGAGTGTTGAAGCAAGGGAAAATAAAGAGTTTATAAAAATTAAAGGTACTGTGCAAAGTTAACAAAAGTACTATTATAAAGAATCTCACTCATCTTATTCATTGATATTGTTATAAATTTGATCAAAACTAGACATCTTAAAAACTATATACACTTAYCTAAAATATATAAATGTATAAACATAAAATTAAGCAAAATCAAGTAGGATTTCTTTAAGGAATGTAAGGAGACCTCAATATAACTTACTATAACAACCTATATGGAAGCCAAAAGTGTTTGTAGCAAATTCATCATCCATTTAGAATAGAAAGAAATTTTCTTGACTTGATTTTAAAAAATCAGAAACCAATAGCAAACTATATTAAGTGTTCCTCTAATGTTTCCTATAAGAAAATCAATATTTCTTTTCTAATTTGATTGTGAGAACTAAATAATTTAATGCATATAAAGTACTTATAAAACTTTTTTATATATGACAGTCTTTTTTACATTTTATACTTAAATAAGTTAATCTGTATAAACACTTATGTTTGTTACATGAACAATAGTCTTCACTTTTTATGCTTAAAAATGTCAAAATCATTAGTTTACAGGTCATAACAAAACAGGTTATTTACCAGATTTGGTCCATGAGCCTCAGATTGTAAACCTATAACCTACAAGTTTATAACCAACCAAAAAAGGTCCATTAAATTAAGGAAAAGGATTCTCAGAAGATTGAAAAGTAGGAAGCACCAGGAATGTGTCTCCCTACTTGAAAATAATTGCATTGGCAAATCTATCTGATGAAACAATTTGAATCTCTGGAGTCTATTGAGGTCTTGCAACTTCCAGATAAAGGCTTGGACAGTGAATTGTGGTCAATTTTAGCTTTTAGCATAATAGCAACTACTCATCCTCCACCTTTGCACTACGGCAGGCAGCTGTGTATGCATTGCTAGAGCAACCTGCACACAGCTTGTGCAAGCTGAGTTTGGCAACAAAGGACCCTAGCCTCCAAATACGAATCTGTGCTTACATTCACTGATCACTGCTTCTGAGCTTCTGATTACAGAGACACAGACAAAGAAACAGGAGGCCATTGTGGTTGAACTCCCCCATGGTGTTGCAAGCCCTACCCCTCTGACTGCTGACTTCCAGGGCCTTTAAAGGGCTTCTGTCTGTCTACTCCAATACATTGTTCTCTTTTTTTCCTTTTTAGAAGTAATACATTAAGAACTAGAAAAATCAAATTCAAAAACATTAATGGGAAAAATTAGAAAGTGACCATATATGCCCATGAAGAAGTACAGGCTCAGGGAAGAACCAAAAAGACCTTAAGTTTACACATCAGGTGGATCCATGGCATAGACACAGCCCATATCCATTAAAAAAAAAAAAAAARCAAAATAAAATAGCAAAACMCTAGAGAAGGTATAAAATCTGATTCCCAAAGTTGCCACATTATTAGATTTAAATGTCCAGTTTTCAACAAAAACAATAACAAATTGTCACATATATCAATAACCAGGAATGTATGAGACAAAGGGGAAAATCATGGGTTGAAAGTACTGTTCAATGATACAGCACATGCTTAGCATGGATGAGGCTCTGGATTCAATTCCCAGCACCAAAAATAAATAGAAGAATAAGTCGATCAATCAACAGAAATTGTCTCTAAAAAGATCTGATGATACATCTATTTTTAAAGATTTTGAAATAACTATCATGAAGATGCTCAAGGAACTATAGGGAGATAAGGGAAAAGTCAAGAAAACAATGTACTAGTAAAATGGAAATAGCAATAAAAAAGATGTAAAAGCAAAAAGGAACCAAAAGGAACACTAGAGCTGAAAAATGAAATAACTAAAATGAAAAAATTCACTGGAGGGACTCAAAAGCAGATTTCAGCAGGAAAAAAAAAAAAAGAATCAGTGAACTTGAAGAGAGGCCAATGGAAACCAGAAGGAACAGAAAAAAAAAGATGGAAGAAAAGTGAACAGAACTTAAGCAACTTACAGGACATCATCAGGCAGATTGACATATGCATGGTGACCAAAAGTTGGTCAGAAAGACAAGAAAGAAAGAGAGAAAATGTTGACAAAATAATTGCTTCAAATATCTCAAATTTTATAAATGACACGAATATAAATGCACAAAAAGCTCAAAAAAACTCCAAGATGAACTCAAAGAAGACCCACACCAAGACACTTTGCAATTGAAATTTCAAAGAGAGAATCTTAGGAAAAAGTAAATTGTCACATATTAGAAGTATCAATAAAATTATTATCAAATTTCTCATCAGAAACTATGGAAGTCAGAATGCATTGGGATCAACATATTCAGATTGCTAAAAGAAAAAGAGTAACTATCAACCAGAAATCCTATATCCAGCAAAAATTTTCCTTCAAAAGTGATGGGAAAAATAAAACATTTCCAGGTAAACAAAATTTACGGGAACATAGTAACCCTTGGATCTGCCCTGCAAAAATGTTCAAGATTGTTCTGCAAGATGAAATGAAAGTACGCTAAACAGTAACACAAAGCCAAATGAAGAAATAAAGATAGAAAATATTTTTTGATCACAATGGAATAATGCTAGAAATCCATTCAAAGAGTTAAAACTGTAAAATTCATGTATTTGAAGAAATGAAGCTATACTCTTAAGTGGATCAAAGAAAAAAACACAAGAAAATACAGAGATTGCTGAAAAAAAACAATGCTTAAAAGGAATTTTACTATTATAAACCTATGTAAAAAACAAAAACAAATCTCAAATCAACAATCTAATTTTATAATTTGAGGAATTACAAAAAGAAAATCTGGGAGGGAGCAGAAAAAGAGGAAGTACTGGGGACTGAAGTGAAGGAAATTATATTCCATGCATTTATGAGTATGTAAAATTGTATATTATATATAATTATGGTGCCTAATAAAAAGAAGAGCAAACTAAACAAAATTGGAGAAGAAAATAAATGAAAATTACAGCAAAAATAGAGAATAGAAAAACAATTGAGAAAAACAATGAAAGCAAAAGTTGGTTAGTTAAAAAGATCAACAAAATTGACAAAGCTTTAGCTTTAAAATACTAAATCAGAAATGAAAGTGGGGATTTTATTACTATCCTAAGAAAAAGTATTATAAGGAACAGTTATACTCCAAATCAGCCAACATAGATGAAATGGAAAAATTCTTAGCACACAAACCCACCAAGATTAAACCAGGGAAACATAGAAAATCTGAATAGACCTAGTGAAAAGATTGAATCAGTAATGTCAAAAAAAATCAAATGAGAAGAGCCCAAGATCAAGACTTCACCAGATTCAGTGTCAGAATCTAGAAACAAAGTATCAAATGAGAATTGCAAAAAAATTATATTGTGAATTATTAGTACCATGGAATACTATTCAGCCATGAAAARAACTACTAAAATATGCAACAACACGATCTACAAAAAAAAAGAAAGAAATGAGCAAAATAAATTGTACATGAAGTAAATACTTTGTAATTTCATTCATATTAAATTCTTGAGCACTGGCAGTTAACCTTTAGTGATAGAAATGAGAAAACTGGTAGATTCAGAGATTCTGGATCAGAAAAACCAGTGCCTTAGTCTACTACTGCTGCTATTTTTTAAAAAAAGACCATAGACTGGATAATCTATAAACAAAAACATTATATGGGTTTAGGCATAAGAGTGTCCCCAAATAAATAAATAGAAATTTATTTCTCCCAGTTCTGAAGATTGATTTGTTTTTGTTTTTTTTTTTTTTTTTTTGGAAGTGCTAGGGATTGAACCTAGGGCCCCATGCATGTCAGGCATGCACTCTACCACTGAGCTACATTCCAAGCTATAGTACTGGGGGTTGGGAAGCCCAAGATCAAGACTTCACCAGATTCAGTGTCTGGTGAGACTTGTTTCTTTCTGCTTCAAATAGGGCACCTCTTGCTAATGCTCACATGATGGAAGCGACCAACACTGTGTCCTCGGAGGTGGAAGGAGGAAAAGGTTTTCCCTTCAACCCCTTTTATTAATCCCTTTCACAAGAACAGAGACTTCATAGCTTACTTCCTTCCCAATGGCCCCACTTGTTCATACCACCAACGATGGGGATTAGGAGTACATGCATTTTTTTGGAGAGACACATTCAGATCACACCAGTCAGATTTCAAAGTCCAAAATATTATGCATTTTTCTATTCTGCCTTATTCCCTTCCTTCTGMCCCAGCCCCTCTACTTTAGCCCATTTTACCTTCATCATTATGCTCACAAAGGAATCTCTCGTTAACTCGTTGTACAGTCATCTGCAAACTGAACATATGTATCCTAGACAGCTTGGCCATGGAGTTTGCTGAAGTGAAGAGTCTTGGGATCCCCTAATGAGCTTCAAGACAGATTCAAAACCCTCACTCKTATTCATGCTTCTGACCTTTCTGCTGGACTTCGCTGACCCAGGTTCCTGGGTACTCTATTCTTTAAATGACCTGCATTCCTTCAATGTTAGGGATTTGCTTTCTGAACCTTTTTCTTTCATCTTTCTCCTTCCCTTCTTCACTTTTCCCCTTTTCTTCTCCTTCTTGGTTTAAAGGACATTTCTCCACAGAAGGAACRTTGATTCCAGAGACAGTTCCTGAGAGGATGATAGACCAAGAAGCATTTTAATAGCCTGGAAGAACAAAGAGAGGAGGATTGAGTAGGGGACACTCCTACTGGAAAGGGATAACTTATTTTAGTTTGAGAACCTAAAGTATTGCATTCCTAAAGTGGAACTCGGGGTGAACTGGAAGCTTTCAGGGTCCCTGGGAATGCAGTCCAGCTTCAGAGGACCTCAGCTGTGAAATCTATCTGAAACAATCTCTGCTAGATACAGCTCTCAGGGGCCCCGCAAAGGTTCACAAAAAGTCCTCTCTGGAGGAAGATATTATCCTATGCTTGAAACTATTTCTCTGAACAATTCTGCAGTTGCAGTATCTGTCAACAACTAAACAATAGCTGAGCACCAGGGGAGGTAGGAAAATATGAAGGAACATAAGCAGATATGTCACGCAACATAATCAGACCCCAAAGAACTCCAGATATGGATGCTCACAGGCATAGATTTTAAAGTAATAATGAATGGATCGATCAAACAAATTGTATTTTTATTCATCAAGATTGCCCATGATAATCTGAGTTGGGAAGGATCCAAAGAGAGAGGAGAAGTGAGGCACAGATTTGGATACTCTCTGTCTTCAAATTCAGTTTCTGGGAACGGATGGAGGCTCCAACAAGGGTTTGGTAGGGTACAGTCATGACAGAGGGTTCACTGATGGGGTCACGCTCCAAAGTCCAAGTTATTAACCACCACTTCCAACTCAGTGGACAAACATTATGGACATAATCTTAGAGTTCTCCTTCCAGACAAGTTCCATTATACTATGCTGTTCCTTTTCTAAAATACAATCATTCCATTGGGACTGTCTTGACACTGAATTTTGTTCTCTTTGCCAAAGCCTCGTCTTAAATTTTTAACTTGTTTTCATAACTATTTAGTTAAAAGGTTAAACATTGTACTTACCTTTTGAAATACACAAAAGTATTGATATATTGAGTCAAATTGTACTATTACCTAAGTGTGTGAAAACCAGTCAATCCTTTTGTGACAAAACCCACTCCAACCATGACAAAACCTACTAAAATGACAAATATTTTCTCATTGCATGAAGTTTTACTTAAAACATGTTGGTTAATTTTCTAATCATACTAAATTTATATTTTCCAAAGGATTATTCAAATTTAAATATTGTGCATTGGGGAATGATGGGGCATAGTGATTGGAAGACATAGTTTGAATCTAACCATTTTTGCATATGGCTGCTAATTTTTAAACTATTAGTTTCGGTCAGGAGCTCGCTGCCTAATTGGTTGGCTTTCCTGTTTGAAGGCCATTGGTGTGTGTGTCAGAATAGAAACCTATGTTTTCCAGTCTACACACACACACATATTTTTAAAGTCGTTTATTTGTTATGTCAGCGTGCCAATTTCAGGTAGCAAATATATGCTTCATATCTGTGGCGTGATAAAAATCAATGTGTATAAAACCTTCTACACTCAAATTTATTTAGACATCAATATTCTCTTTAGCCAGATATGTGAAAATTGTTATCTATTTGAGTTCAATACAGAGCATAAAGAGAATTTTCACAGAACCAAAGCACCATTTACTCAAATTTAAATTGAAGGTTGTAGACTAAGATAATATAGCATTTGAAAGCAAAATGCATATTGCAGGCAGTCTGCAGTGAACCCAGTTGGCGAAATCTCTCCACATTATTAAAAAGACTGATGCAAGAGGAAAGCATTTTAGTGCATTGAGAAATGCATTCCCTTATGGGATGAAATATCCCATTAGTGCAAATGTGGTCCCAAACTCTCATATGAAGTCGGGTCTGAGGTCAACAGCAATGCAATCTGTGGTATAGAGTTCACCCACAATTGGGCTAATATKCTACAACTGAAGATTTTCATGGGCTTGTCAAATCTTGTCACTCCATGAAGTTTCTAAAGACTAAGATTGCTTTAATTTCAATATTTTAAAATGAATGCAAGGCCAATTCTGCTGTGATAGCATTTGTTAGCTGAATTTAGGTTCTCTTTGTGCAGTATGGATTTCCSATAGAGAAAATACTTTTAATATAGTAAACAGCATCTTTGGGCCCCCTTCCTCCCATTCCCTTCCAGATCCACTTTCCATTCTGCCCTTTCCCATGGGAGGTCAACTGGTAAGAACTACATTCCTGCCCTTCCCTCCCTAAGGTTTGTACTTGATTGATGGAAAGTCCCAGCAARGGCTCAAGGGGATAGAGAAGAGTGCTTCTGGGTGGCCAAAGTCCCTCCACACAGTTGTCTTCTAAACACGTGATTTTTCTCCTTCCAGTTCCCAACACCCTATCTCCTCTCTTCCCATTGGTCCTGTTGTGACCACATTCCCTCTCTCAGGAGTCCCAAGATGCTGTATTGTATCTTGGAATTTCTCTACTTCCTGACCACTGCTTTTGTATACTCTTTTTATGAAGCACCAATACCCACACAGGAATTATCCTAATTCGAATGTGCTGTTATATTCTATTTGGGCTCTGATTGAGAAAATTTACATCAGGAAAAAAAAACATTTTAAGCTCTCAAACATAATAAATAATATCTAGAAATCGGGGTCAAATTCTTTGAATCAGAAATCTATAACCTCCTTTTTGGTCATAAAATGAATAGTCAAAACTATTTTAACTAAAATGACCAAAGAATTATTAAATCTCTCCTTTACCATTTACAGGACAATATAAATGACCCAATATAAATATCTTAAAAGACTTTCTTCCATTCTTATTGGGCACCTATTAATACCAGGGGTTCTGTTAAGCAGTGGAGATGCAATGATGGATAAGTGGTGCTTGCCTTAGCCAATAATGATAAGGCATGTTACAAGAATGATGTTGAAAGGAGAAGGAGCATTATAACCCAGCCCGGGATACATGCAAGACATTCCTGCAGGGAAAGGGATTATTTTCAAGCTAGAGGAAACTCAACCCTTTCACAGCTTGGAGAGAAATTTCTGGAAACGATGCTAGACTACAGAAGTAAGAGTAAGAACAAAATTAAGGTGTCATAATCTAATTGTAGATCTTTTAGAAAAGAAAAACTTGAGATACTTTTGTTTACTTAGATGATGCAAGGTAGAGGAGTYTAAATTATTAAAATCAGTTCAAATGCTGCAAGCCAGAAGGACTCTATCTCAACCTGAGGATTTATTATCGCTCAGCCATCTGTGACCAATAGTCCCTACAGATTGTTCCAAATTTATTCTCCCAAGTTAGATCTATGATAGGAAAAAACCTGGCACTCTTTCAGTAGGTGAACATCTGGATTCATTTTGAACAGGTAAGAAACAGATACCTGATATTTTCAATTTTTAATGACCATAAGGAATAAGGTAGACATATATTATCCTATTGTAATAAAGTACAAAGAATTAATTAAGATAAAAGAACACTTAAAATAGTTGGAATACCAAAAGGCCTATACCACTGCATAAAGTAATTTTGAAGATTTAAAAGAAAAAAAATAAGGACATGAGTAGGATGAAATTTTTGGTTTAGAATCTTTAGTCTTAAATTTTGTTTCAATTGAAAGATCAGTCATTTAAAACTTTTTWAAACACATTTAAATTTGAATGTCTATAACTTAGATAATACACATATGATATAGTTAGCAAAGGGGTGAAGTAGACCTCATTTTCAGAGCACATGCATATTTATGTCTGTATACATTCATATATACACACACACATTTAAGTACACACATACACAGCCATATACATATATTCAAAATCAAGACACTTTCTAAAATGTATACACCAATTTTCACTTCTGCCAATCATCTACAAAGTGCTTTCCAACACTGAGTATATCACTTTCAAAAAATACTTAGCTAATAGGTGAATTGTGTTACACTGTTATACATTGTATTTCTTTGATGATAATGAGATTCAAATTGTTTTCAATTTTCAGTCACTTGTTATTGTGTAGGTTTGTATGTGTAAATTGCCCACTATTGACTGCTATTCTTTTAAATTGGCTGTATCARTACATTGTCATCCCCCTCCATTCTAATGTCGTGTCATGCTTGAGAAGAATGAAAACTGGTCATGAGATTGTTTCACATATGATTTCCAACTGACAGAGGGAGGTTTTAGAGACTTCTGTCATATTTACATATTGATGGGGGAAATTATGAATGGTTCTCAATTTTTCTAGATCAGTGAATAAAAGCTTAACAAATCTATATAGAAATGCCCCAGGTTTGGTTTAAGGT